CCGGGGATGGCCAGCAACTGCCAGGAGCTAGGAAGAGGCCAGGAAAGCTCCTCCTCTCGAACCTGGAGGGTGCACAGCCCCTCCCACACCTTGATTTCAGACCCCTATCCTTCAGACCTATGAGAGGGTACATTGGCTTTAAGCTGCCTAGTTTGTGATACTTTGTTCTGGCGGCCCTAGACAGCTAGTACACTAGAGACCCAGAGATGGCATAATGTCCCATAGTTGTTCTCAGCCCCAAGGATGTGGTTGGCATTCACCACGTCCTCTGCCCTACCTTTCCGCCTTCGTTCCACCCTGGCGATAGGGCGTAGCATCGCAGCATGAGGTGGGCCCCTTCTCAGAGGTCTCCCAGCCCCAGGAAGTGTTAACTTTTTCGTAAGTAGTCTTTCCTAAATAACTTGATTGGGATCTCTATCCATCCGTCCCCCCATTCATTCATTCCTCACTCCTGCATTCATACATCAAACACATAGGATGTGCCCGTTCTGAGGCAGGGCCCTGGGATTCTGGGAGAAGACAGACACCTTCGCTGCCCCCAGAGCTCTCGAGTATAACCAGGGAAGCGTGTCAGGCATCCTTACCCCGAGGGAACCCCTCTCAGTTCAGGGGGATCCAGCCTTGCTGGGTGCTGCCTGTTGTCCCTGCAACTGAGGGCAACGTGCCCTTACTGAGCTTAAATAAACTCGTGGTTTCTCTTCTTGGTCCAGCTGCTCCGTGTTGATTATTGGGGAACTGTAGAAACATCAGCACTTTCGACAACTGTCTTTTCTGGCGATGTGTCTCTGGTGGCAGAGGAGGCAGGCATCCCTTTTTTTAAAAAAAAAAAGAAACGAGGTGAAACTCGTGTAACGTCCAATGAACCATTTTCAAGATACAGGTCAGTGGTATTTGGCATATTCACAAGGTGTTGCAATCACCAGCTCTGTCTAGTGTCTGAACTTCATCGTGGACCCATAAACCCACCCACCGGGGCCCATCGAGTCATCACTTCCTGACCCCCTCCACCATCTCTGTGACCTCTAATCTCTGCCTCTATTGATCGCCTGCTCTGGATAGGAATGTCAAAGGCATCGTGAGCCCAGTGATTCTTGATTGCATGTGAGCCTCCTTTCCAGCAAAGATAGCCTCTCCTGTCCCCACTGAGCGCCCACTCCCGTCAAGCAAGGTCCCCAAAGCAAGCAAATAGCAAAGCAGAACAGTTCGAGAATCTTGATACCACCCCCCCAACTAGCCCCCCCCCCACCGGATTTCCAGGAATGCGGTTTGGTCTGGAATGATCACTGTTGTCTTGAAAAGAGCCCTGTGGAGTGAGCTGGTGTGTGTGTGTGTGTGGGTGTGGGTGTGTGTGTGTGTGTGTATGGGAAGAGCGGGTGTCCACAGCAATGAGGAGGCAGGAATGTCCCAGGTTCCTAGCAGTCTCCTAGGGCTGCCGTAAAGAGTGCCCAGACCTGGGTGGTTTGGAAGAATAGAAAGTTACTGTCTCAGTCCTGGAGGCCAGAAGTCCTATCTAGATCTAGGCGTCAGCAGGGCTGGCTCCTTCGAAGGCTGTGAGGGAGAACCTGCTCCCTCTTTCTACCCCAGCTTCTGGGGGGGTCACCTCTGGTAGTCTTTGGGTTCCCTGTCTTGTAGATGCATCACCCCATCTGTGCCCTCACCTCCGCAGAGCCTTTTCACCGCGTGCTTACCTCTGTGTCTGCACCCCCCTTGCTAGAGACACCAGGCATAATGGGTCAGGGCCCACTCTAATGACCTCACTTTAACTTGCTGACCTCTGTAGAAACCCTCTTTCCAAATAAAGTCCCATCCGGAAGTGCTACGGGTTAGGACTCCAACATATCTTTTTGGGGGGGGACATAATTCAACCCCCATAATGCATAATCAATAGACAAGTTCAGGCAAAACAGGATTTTAAAGAGCTGAGTAAGAGAAGAAAAGTCGGGGGGATGGTTTTAGGCTCCACACGCCCTGTTGGGAGTTTGTCCCTGTAACTAAGGTGTTCCGGAAGGAATCGGCTGGTGTTCAGGACATATGACGTGTGAAACCACACACTCTAAGGGAAGCAGGAGACTGATTCTTACAAGCTCCATCTGTGAGGATAAAGGCCTCACAGACTGAATCAGGACTTACGTTTCAAATGCCAGAAGCCCTATTCTAATTAGCTTATGGGGGGAGGGCTTTTGGCTCACGTAAATGAAAATTCCAGGGGTGGATCTGATTCTGACTCTGGCTTCAGGCAAGAATAGTTCTCCTACGTCAGGGTCTTCTCGGGGAGTCAGGCCTCCCCTTATGTTCATCTCACGGACAGGGAGATCAACACCCCAAACTCATTCCACCATCTGAGCAACTCCAAGAGATGGAGGCTCTCCTCTTACAGCTCTCGGAGGAAAGTCATCTGATTCCCAGCGTGGACCCTAGGATCTTGGGATCACCTCTGAGCCAGTGACTATGGGCAGAGGACACGGTTTCATGCCTGAACCTCAGTCACATACGCCTAACTGTGCATGCTAGGCAAGGCAATTTTATCTGAAACATCTGGAATAGATTCCCCTCAGGAAAAGGGGGCCTTTTGCCCACAGAAAGAGGAAGGGGCCAGCAGTTTGACTAGGTGACTGGGATTGCAGACTCTGGGCCCCAAGCGGGCCAGATTCGGTTCTTGCTCATCTCTTTACCTACACTACTAAGCTCTTAATAGGGTCTCAGTAAAACTTTATCTAATCAGAATCAGTTGATAAAGAATGATTTGCTCAAAATGTGGGCGATGGGAAGTTGTGAAGAATACTGACCTGTGGTTTGGAGATAGTTCCAGAACTTGTACCCTTGTCCTTAGGCAAATTGACTAGTCTTAGGGAAGGCAGAAGGTTGCCAAACATGGAGCTCCTTTGTACTTAGGGTTCTGAGATTTTCTTCAATCCTTTTTAAGAACCTTGAAGGCATAACTTGTGTGTGAAGGCAAAGGGGCTTTAAAGAGTTTTGGAAAGAGGCCCCTGGGACTTGGGGAGTGTTGAGTAGCTCTTAGAAAACATCATATGGGTAAATGAAGTGTAAATTAATGTGAAAACTATGCTTTACCTTTGCTTTGAGACATACAGGTTTGGAAACCCAAGGGGAGGCAGCTTGTCTGTGGTCAGCCCACACTCCCAGAAGGAAAGTGCTTGAAATGTGTTTGGGGGGCCTGTGCAAAACCTGATCAGCTTCTGCTCTTTCCTGGACAAAATGGCAGCCTGCCCTCCTACTTTCTCCCTTTCAGGGATAGTCCCTGTTTCTCATGGTATTACTGGCAAATAATACTTCGGTGGATACTAAAATCTGGTTTGTTGGCGTTCGGGTCTCTCTGCGATTTTCAGCGCACTGCATGGAGCCTCAGTTCTCAAGGGTGAAGCCAGCGCAGGGGAACCCTGGCAAGGTCGGTTACGGCGGTCATGGCCGTGGCTCGGTGGCTGGAAGCTGTGTGCGGTGTGCATCCAGGGCCTCGTTCCTGCCGGCAGCATGCTCGGTACTTGAACACGGTGCTCCTCAGACTTCCGAGCCTGTGGAGTCAGCGGGGATTGTTTTTCCTGTGGGTTCTGATTCAGTAGGTCTGGACTGGGTTTACAGGCAGCCGGAGTGCTGGTCTGAGGAGCATCTTCGGTGGCGCAAAGCGGGACCCGCGGCTCCTGACACCACTCAGAGCAAACGCTCATCCCTCTGTCCCCCACCCCTGCCACTGCCTCTGGACTCCCCCTTCGAGCCTCTTGGATCAAACCCGCAGCTGCTGCAGCTTCAACCTTGCCTACAGGGTGTCTGGGTTAGGAGAGCCCCCTGTCAGGAGCAGTATGTTCTCTCTGCGTCGGGAGCTGGCCAGGATTTCTGGCTTCCTCGTCCAGTTGGAGATGCCATGGGGCTGGCAGGTCCAGGGACAGACCTCCAGATCCACTGAGTGCTCCTCCCCTTTATCCTCCTCCTCACTCTTCTTCCCCAGCCTGTCCTTTGAGGGTCCTCTCTTCTCATAATTCTGAGGCACTCAGAATTTTGTTCTCATAATTATATAAACAACAGGGCTTATATGTATTAAAGAAAAAGGTCAATTTATATGGGGAAGAGAATCAAGTCAAGAGCAGACCTCTCCTCCCAGACCCCCGAATCCCAGTCCCCATAGGTGACCAGTGTTAAGGTAGCCTGTTGGGGTCTCTGGCTTCAACAACAGAAACCCCAGCCCCCCTGGCTTAGTGAGTAAGGGACTTTGACAAGTCACGTGATTGGAAGTAGCTCCTGATGTTGGTGGGGTTCTTTCTGTCCTCTACTCCGGAGAGATTCTCGCTCCTCTGTGCCTCCCTCCCATCTGGACCAGGAAGAGTGGCCAGGGTGTGCTGGGCTCTGATTGGTTGACACCAGTCACGCTGGCTCCCTGAGCTGGGATGCGAGGTCTGTTTCCTGGAAGCTTTGGGATGATTCCCAAACCACACAGCGTTTCTGTTAGGAAGGATGGAAGTGGCCTGAATGCTGGATGAGTAACAAATAGTGTGCACCATACTTCCAGAAGTTTCCATTTATGTATACGGTTGTGATATTCATTCACTGATTCATTCATTCATTCACTCACTCATTCAGTGCCAACAGTTTGCCAGGCACATAGATTATTCCAACTAATACCAACCGTGAACCAATGAGGGAAGTACCTTTCTTCCCTGTTTCCGGGTGAAGAAACTAAGGCAGAGACTGCTCCAGGGACTTATCTAAGGTCACACCGCACTTAAGTAGAAGAGTGGAGATTTGAACCAGGCGTTCTGGCTCCAGGTCCATCTCCACCACTGGCTAATTCCGACTCCTGAGATGCTTCTCGAAAGTCGGCTCTCTCACCTCTGTGCGATTGTTAGAAGCTTGAGATTGGGTTGTGTCTCCACATGAATCAGGCAACGTGGTCAGCCCTCCTAACCACCCCAGGAGGGCAGGGACTGTTTCCTGACCTTACAAGTAACCGAATTATGTGAGTGAATTCAAAACCATATTTCTATCCCTAGATCCAAATAACTATTATCACCGAAGGAACGAAATGACCACCACTGATGACCTGGATTTTAAGCACCACAACTATAAGGAAATGCGCCAGGTAAGCTCCAGAATTCTCAAAGAGCATTATATCCTGTGCCCAGAAGAACATTGTTTGGTTTTTTTTCTTTCTAGAAATTAGGATGGTGTGTTTGGGATAGGAATCTGAATGATCCTTTTGGTTTTCTGAAGCCACACTGAATGCTCGTGGTTTCTACATTGAGAATGCCTCACTGGGGTGCCAGTGACCAGAGGAAGGCTCCCTATCCAGCGAATGGTTGAAACAGAATTTGGACGCAGACTTTTCTGATTTAATAATAGTTCTTAAGATTCACTGTGTGTTTGAGTGATAACTGACTTGAGGATGTTAGTCGTAGGCAGAGTTAAAGAAGAAAAAGGATCTAGAACACCACCGATAAAAGTAATAGCCGGAAGCCTGTATGTAGGACCTACGTTAATTTACTACATTAGCAGTGTACCTGCATCAACGTGGTCAGCCCTCCTAACCACCCCAGGAGGGCAGGGACTATTTCCTGACCTTACTGATGGGGAAGCCCAGTCACCAAGGAAATCTAGAACTCTACCCCTTGTTATTCACTCTCTGATTGTCCATCTTGGTTATGTAACAGAATCACCTGGGGAAATCTGGAAAAATATCTGTACTTGAACCTCAGCTCAGGCCACTTTTTAAAGCAGAATCCTTAGAAGGAGGGCCTGGAGGTCTAAATTTTTAAAAGTTATCCCTGCATTTCTAACGTATGGCCAGGCTTCAGAACTACTGCCTGATACCTTTATAGATCTTAGGACTTTAGTGCCGTTAGGAGCAAAAGTTCATTCCAGCCGAGATCGTCCCCAGATTTAGTTACAGAAACCAAGTAATTTCGGGCGCCTGGGTGGCTCAGATGGTTAAGCATCTGCCTTCGGCTCAGGTCATGATCTCAGGGTCCTGGGATCGAGTCCCGCATCGGGCTCCCTGCTCCTTGGGAGCCTGCTTCTCCCTCTGCCTTTCTCTCGCTCTGTCTCTCATGAATTAAAAAAAAAAAAAAAAAAATCTTTAAAAAAAAAGAAAGAAAGAAAGAAAGAAACCAAGTAATTCCGAGCCGTGGACAGTGTTTGGGTGAAGGGAGAAGGGACCAGCCGTTTATGAGGACAAGCTGAAAGAACAGCTGTGCTGAGTGCTTTGCCTATAAAATCCTGTTCAGCCTTTGCCCCCAGCACGGTGCTTGGAAAGCTTGGGGGACGCTGACAAATGAGAAATCCTTGGATACCTGAGAATCTGTTTGAAGAGACAGAATGGAGAGATATCCTCACGAATGCATTTACAGAACAAGGATTCACCAAGAGCAAATTAGCAAGGCTCAAAGCAAGGGCTCATGGGTGCCGAGAGAAGGAGCCAGAGGCCCAGTCCAAGTGCTGGAGACGTTCCTGAGGTCGGAGCAATTAGACTGAGCCCAGAGGCCTCTCTGCCTCATCCCAGGGAATCAACAAGCCCTGTTTGTCTCAATGTCATTTAATCTGAGACGCTCCCACAGAGCTTCCAGACACCTGTCAGCTTAGACTTAGAGGTGGGACATGCTAGAGAAATTCTCTTGCTGTCCAGCTCTTCAGAAATCAGGATAATGTGTCTGGACCTGAGTTCTGTGAATCATCCCTGCTGCTCTGCATTCTCTGGCACTCACATGGCTCAGCTCACCCTTCCATTTCATGGAGCACTTGTGGGTTAATTCAGCTCTACTTACTGCACATCTCGGGATATCTTTGCGAGCCCAGAAACTGGGCAAATATCCACTCAGCTGGTGCGATTAATGTCAAAAGCAATGAATCTAAATGCATTTAAAATGAGCTACTGCACAGAGACTCTGGGTAGCTGGTATCTTTAAATAGTTGTTCCGTGTAGAAAATCGGGGTCTTTCCAGAAAAGGAGAACTAGTGGAGTGTACTTCATTTTCCTGGGCAGCTCTGCTCACCATCACTTGGTGATGTAAAGCCAAGGAGACAGTTGGAATGGTCAGTGCAGCCCCTGCAGGTGATGGTGGGTGACCCCAGGGCTCCGCAGACCTCAACTGGAAACCGTTCAGGGGAGCATCTATCAATCCTGAAGGGTGTTCAAGCCGGAAGTGAATTGCCATTTGGATTCCTGGCTCCTGGGGATGAAAAAGAAGCCAGCATTTTTAGCAGTTACCCGTATGGAGTCTGCTGGCTTACTATAGAAATCTACTTCAGAAAAGAAAAAATGTTAGTTTATCCTAGTATTGAGAGAGACATTTCCAACAAACAAACAAACAAACAAACAAAAAATGAGAAATAGCAGCGGAGCAGGAAGAGAGAAGAGAAAATAGAAAAACATATTGCGTGGGAAATGCTGAGAATGTGGGCAGGAACTATTTCTCGAGCACTGACTTACAAGGTGCTGTTCTGCAGGGGGCCCCCGGCGGGTAGGATGGGAAGGGAAGGGGACAGCAAAGAGCAGGTTGCGCATCATTGGTGTCGTGGGGCAGAGTGAGGCCACCCCTCCAGGAGCGCTCCAGCCTCCGTAGCATGTGTCACCATTTCTAACTGCTGGGTCACCTCTTTGTCTATATACATCTCCCTCATTTGGGACCATGAGGGCAGAGACTCTGTCACTTTGTCATAAACCCATAACGTGTACTAGATAAATATGTACTTCCGAGCTCCTTCCAGGGGAGATATTTGGGGGATAGGAGGGAGAAGTGACCGGCCCAGTTGGCCTGGTTGGGATGGGCTTTGGATGCAGATGGGGTCGGCTATGGTCCGGGGCCGTTGGCCAGCCTTGGGCAGGTGGAGACAGAAGGGAGGGCACCCAGGCAGCAAGAGCAAAGGGATGGAAGTAGGAGCAGAATGGCATGCTTTTGGAACAGTCTGCTGGGAGAGAAGGCTTGCCTGAGTGCTGGGAGAGGCTTTGGTATAGCGTCTGAGAATCAGAGGGGGTTTTATGTGGCAGAGCAGTGTTTTAGGGAGATCTGTCTGGAAGGCATGTGGGAAGTGGACTGTCGGGCATGGCCGTGGTCCCCAAGAGAGGGGCCACCAGGCCCGAAGACAGCTGAGAGAGAGGCAGTTCTGAGGAGGACTGGCTAGTCCTAGGTCTCCTGTTGGAACGAGTTGGGAGAGAGAGAGAGAGGGGTCTGGCATGCTTCCCAGGAGGGTGAGGTACCATCCACAAAGGGAGAAAAATAAGTGGTTTCGAGGAAAAGGTTCATGGTTTGACTTTGATTTCCAGGGCAGCGAAGGCGGGTCGGGGCGCCAGGCTGTGGGGCAGCAGGCTGTGGTGCACTTGTGGGGGGCGGGGGGGCGATGGTGGCAAGAAGCCAGGGCAGGGCAGCCCACCTGCGGACCCGGACGAGCCCATCTCCTCAACCCTGGGTGCCTCCTACCACCATTCTCCCCTCCTACCCTCTGGGATTCCTTCTCCATGGGACCAGATGCAGTGCCTGTTTCTCAGGCAAATCAATAAAGCTGGTGGAAGGGGACTTTTTCTCTTCTCCCTCTGCCCTTTTTAAAAACATTTTAATTCATCGGAGAAACAATACTATGTCAACATCAAATGCAAACCCAAAGTCTAAGGTCCATCTTCCCTGAGCCCACCACCCTCAAGAATCAGCCATTTGCATTTCCCCCCATTCCTGTCCAGGGTTTCAGTCTCTACATTCACAGAATTCATTCGATTTTGATGAGAGGATGGTGATAATTTTGCCTTGCTTCCCTCAGTTAATGTTGGATCACGAGCCATTTTCCACGCTCTCGCCATAGTTGTAATTGTGATGCTGCAGAACGTCCCAGGGAGTGGATGCAGTGTGCTCTTCCCTGCTGCCTTGTGCCCTGGAGCACTGGGACATCTCCCGGCTTAGTGTCCCTGGGGAGAGGGTGAAGCCACCACAGCAAGTGCCATGTGCCTGTCATTGTAGCATCCTTTATGCAGAAGTCCCTTCTTGTATATTGCTGGAAACTGAATTGCTAGAGAAGGGCTCTGTTTCTCTCTCCTGCAGAGGAGGAGGGAAGCAGCAGAGCCTAGGATTCAGTAGATACAAGGTTGGCAAAGTGTATTCCCATCTCGGGGATGAGGAAACAGAGTCTCAGTGAGGCTCAGACTCTGCAAACCCACACGCTCTCTAGGTGATCGATCTCAACCTGGTTTCATATCACCACCCCACCCCCAGGAGGCTTTTTAGACACTTTCTTAATTATCCTCTGCCCATTATATTAAATATTAAGAGTGAGATTTTGTTGGGTAGGGCTGAGCTTTGGAGGGCCACAGAGCATTGTGATGTGTGAGACCTTTAGCCCCAGACAACCAGTTTTTGCCTCTTGGGGGGTGATGTCACCCCCACTGAGAATGCATGCTCTGAGGCCAGGAAGAAGTTGTAGTCTTTACTGTCACTTTAACCATCAAGACTGCAACTCCAATAAGACATCTTTGACTCTTTTCAGAAATAAGCATGGTGGATCACCAGCTAGGTCATTAATGGGGCTGGTGGCCACTGGGGAAACCCTTCCTGGCATTTCAGAGAGAATTTCTTTCTGTGCAGAGGGAACTGTAAAGAACCTTCAGAAAGGAGATTCCTCAAATGCCTGTGTCCTCATTCTCATGTGTGAAGGTGCTCATGACACCACAGCACACGGAGGGAATGTGGCTGGGAGGAAGACGCTAGGATGGCTGGGGTATGAAGAGGTGACTGGTGAGTCACGGCTGAGGCTATCCCATACCAAGAGATGTCTCCAGGGCTAAGTGTGCATCCAACGGAAGGTGCAGTTTGTGCTCCAGTGTCAAGGTCCTGATCTCAAACACAGGTGGCATGTTGCTCCTGCAGCTGATTGGATGGAGGAGGAGGGTAGGCATTAAGTGACAGCCAGGCTGTGTGCTGGATGGTTGTCTTTGTTGCCTAGTTAAGGATGACTCGAGGGGCTGTGTCTGCAGAACTAGTCATTGATCCGAACCAAGGCAGTGGATCATCTGCTGCTAAGGATTTGCTGAGGTTGATGGTGGTAGATGAGGATGACTGCAGTCTGTAGGGACTAGTATGTGGGACCCCAAATCAGATGGTGATTGTGCTGTGGCCATCTTCAGAAGGGTCATGGCGCGCAGCTGACAAAACGGGCAGCAGAGATGTGCTGGTGTTCATTGCTTTGCTGCACCTTCAGGGACGCAGAAGAGCCCTGAGTCCACAGCACCTGGTACCAGCTGGGTGACCCTGGGCAAATCACTCAGTGGTTCTCTGAGCCTCAGTCTCCATATCTGTAGAATGGGGACAGTCACCTCTGCCTTACTTACTTCACCTGGAGGTCATGACAGTGAAAATCAGTGAAGAAATAGAACGTGTGGCTAATGCAATAGTTGACATTATTAGTGACACTATTACTGTGTCCCTTGGGAAGATGTGGTGCTGTGCACGTGGTCCCCCTTCAATGCTGCAGCATGTATGTGTCCCCACGGTGATGGGTGTAGAAGCCGTGGTTCCCTCGCATGCTGTCTCTCCAGTGATGGCGGGTCTCTGCTTTTGCCCTGTTGCGGACGAGAGTTCCCAACAGCCCCCCCGTTCCCCTCAAGGGCAGCCTGTACTCCTGTGATCAGCAGAGCCCTCCTTACCTCCTTCGGCAGCTCGTCTCATCCCCTCAGACCAAAGCTGTCTGTCTAACGAGCTCAACTTTAAATGTAAAATTCAGGAAATAACACATGTCGAATTTCACTTCCTCGTCAAAGCCTACTTTCCCTACCTTTTCACCACATGACGCACCATTATCATGGCTTCCCTGCACCCCCTTACTTAGCATCAGTGAACTGGGTCTTCAGATGGCTCCCCTCTGTTTTGCACCGTAAGCTCCAGCAGAGTGGGAGCCGTGTCTTCCCTCAGCCTGACACACCAAAGATGCTCATTAAATTATGAGAAAAAAATTGATACTCGGTAATAAATATTTATTTAGGCAGGGTTATGGAGAGCAAAGACTCAATCTGTCCCTTAAAAGATCTGTAGTCTTGGGGCGCCTGGGTGGCTCATTTGGTGAAGCATCTGCCTTTGGCTCAGGTCATGGTCCCAGGGTGCTGGGATCGAGCCCCGCATCGGGGTCCTGCTCGGCGGGGAGTCTGCTTCTCCCTCTCCCTCTGCTGCTCCCCCTGCTTGTGTTCTCTCTCTCTCTCTCTGTCGCTCTCTCTGTCAAATAAATAAATATAATCTTTACAAAAAAGGATCTGTGGTCTAGCGAGGAGACAAAAATAAAACAGGAAATCACAATAAAAAGGTAAGACCACAGCCAAGGAAGGTGATAATCACAACCCGAGGAGAACATTCCAGGCATAGGAGATAGCTCTGGTATTTGGGGAGGGTGAGGGCGTGTAGGGGGGCTGTGGGAGGGGACCAGCAGGTGGCTATCTTGGGAGCTCTGTGCCTTTAGAGAACAGCCATCATTGCTTAGAGCCTTCGTTTTGTTTTTCAGCTGATGAAGGTTGTGAACGAAATGTGCCCCAACATCACCAGAATTTACAACATTGGCAAGAGCCACCAGGGCCTGAAGCTGTATGCCGTGGAGATCTCCGACCACCCTGGGGAGCATGAAGTCGGTGAGGTTACCCCTCTGTGAGACACCTGTCCCTCCATGTCTTGTGCCTTCTTAAAGAGCCAGGAGATGGCTCACCTCTGTGAGAACATTCATGAAACAGGCCAGGTGCTGTCCACACACCACTCTCACACACAGATTCTGCAAATTCTGGTTCTGTGAAGCTCTTATCTTGTGATATAGGCTGTTGACTTATTTAAGGTAGAGATACCTTCCTTTTCTCCACATGAACCACATTTAATTCTATTCTCCAGCTCTGAGGCCAGTCACACTGACCAAAGAAGAAAGTGGCCAGAGTTGGTTAGGACTGAATCCTTTTATAGAAGAAAGTTCTGGACTTAAGTTATTAATGGCTTAAGTTAGAGGGAGGTCCCCTAATTTTTTTTTTTTAATTTAATTCTACTTTTGAGCATTTCCTATCTTCAGCCATTTCTCATTCAGTCACTCTGGAACCTGGATTCTCCTCCGGGTCAGAGGGGCTTCTCAGGTTTTCTTTTTGGTAAATCCGCAAGTCCTTTAGAAATCCACCGATATTTAAGTCTGAGATTTGTCTGCTTCGTTCAACTCTAAATTTGTCAGTATCTCAGGAGTTCCTCCTAGGAGTTTCTTTGAAAGGGTAAGGGCTTGATCTGCAGGTAAAATCACATTTCCTTAAAAGCAGTAGCTTTGCCAGTGAGAGAAGAAGTATTGTCAGCCCATGCTGGGCACTGATAAGCCCCAACACTGGAGAAGCTGAGCTCGGAAGAGGAAAACCTCAAAGGCAGCCCCCTTACAAAATTGTGTCAGTGTTGATGTCCCCTGCTGATCTGTTTTCTGCTTCTATTTTTCCATCTTTCTGTCCTTGTAAGATTTAATAGGACCTTCTTTTGAGAAGAACGCTTGCCTCCCAGGAGAAAAATCATTGTTATGGCTTGTGTTTCATTTGTAAATTTTAAACCTTACGCACTGTGTTACTTTCTCCGTTCTTGTTAAATAAGAATAAACATGATTACCCAGGGGCTGGTATCATCTAAGAGTTTTCTACACATTTTCTTATATACCTATTTGGGAATTAAAAAAAAAAAAAGTATAGTGATATAACTTGGGGGGCCTCTTTGAAAGAAGAGCTAGGGTAAAATTGTAAGTTGATATTACTCAGAGATTTTTTAATCCTAAATGGTAAGGGCTGTCCTGCTCGAAGCATCGATATGAACCTGTATTTTTTCCCGTCTTTGAGTAAAGGTGAGCCGGAGTTCCACTACATCGCAGGGGCCCATGGCAACGAGGTGCTGGGCCGAGAGCTGACCTTGTTCCTGATGCAGTTCCTGTGCCAAGAGTACTTGGCCCACAACGCGCGCATCGTCCACCTGGTGGAGGAGACCCGGATTCACATCCTCCCCTCCCTCAACCCCGATGGCTACGAGAAGGCCTACGAAGGGGTAATGACGCTGTTCCTCTTGGTCAGGGCAGCCACTAGGCCCCCGCCGCAGAGCACGCTGGGCCACGAGTCAATTTCTGTTCCGTATCACTGGCTTCCCTTTCAGTGTCTCTCTGCTGAGGCAGGGAAACTCACAGGGTTCATGAAAGATGCAAAGCAGGAATTGAGAATCATGGGCACCCGAGAGGTAGACATGCCAACAAACTGGAGAAAGTGAACAGGAAGGAATAATACTGGTTGCATTTTCAATGATCACAACAGAACAGAATAAAAATAACACTGAACATCGATGGAGCTCATAATCAAGGCAGGCCTTCAATTCAGTTGTTGCCTATAATCCTTTCAGTGCTCTGAGAAGAGTTGTTTTTATTATTCTGATACATCGTTTACATTTCATGTTCTAGTTTGTGTAGGTTATAGTTAGGTATAGACTATTATTAGTATTATCTGGGAATAAAGTGGAAAACTGTGCTTGGTACCTATCACACGCACGCCTTATAATACAGAATTGTGGTTGTGTTTATGGGTACAGAGTTGGTTAGGGATTTTCAGTGCCCGATTTGCAAGATCCGTTGGGCAGGGGTTTGCGAGCCCAACTTATGGGCATGGCGGGGAGAATGAGTTAACACGGTGATGGTTGATTTTGCAATGCCAGACTCTTGGATTCATTCCTACTCGGAGTTTCATCTGACCAGTCTAGAAACTCTCTGGGGGTGGGAGGTAGGGGAGAAGGAATTTTAATACTTCCTGAACACTGCCATGTGGCTGGGGTGAGGCTCTGCATTCCCTCTTGGGGTGATTTGGCGATATTACCCACCACCCACCTAGTACTAGAAGATGCTTCAGTGTTCTGGGTGCTGTCTTTGGGCCAGAGGGCGCGTGAGGCTTAGAGACACACCCAGGTGGGGATGGTGGGCGTGGAGACGGTTACGTCTTGTGTGAGAGAAGTCCGGAAGCCTGTGGGTCCCTCATGCTTGGAATTGTCCCCCAGGGCTCGGAGCTGGGTGGCTGGTCCCTAGGGCGCTGGACCCACGATGGCATCGACATCAACAACAACTTTCCCGACTTAAACACGCTGCTCTGGGAGGCAGAGGACCGACAGAACATTCCAAGGAAAGTTCCCAATCACTATATTGCAATCCCTGAGTGGTTTCTGTCTGAAAATGCCACGGTGAGTAAAAATACCCCATCATCTGCAGAGCAGTGGAAGGCCAAAGTTAACACCCGCTGGTATTTGAGGAGGATCTGACATTTAAGAGCAAGACAAAACCATTTTGTTTTTCTTTCATGTTTTCTCCTAAAGTGGGGAAGTGTGCTAGATAATAACTACCTTTAAAGTTTACATTTGCGGATATTCTTCATAAAAGAGAAATCGCTGAATTAGATTTCTTTACAACCACACAGGGCTTTAAAAACAACAACAACAAAAAAAGCCAAAAACCCTGCCCCTGAACTCTGTGTGTCATTACTATCCTTACTACCCTCAGCTTTGGCAGTGCTATGGAATTGCTATGAAATTGTCCTTAGACCTTATTGATTGCTTGAGAGATCTTAATTTTATTTTAATAAATCCCTACGGATTATTACATGTCATGCTTCTTTGGAAAGAAAAAAAAATGCATAGAATGAGAAATGTTCGCCCTGAATTTTCCGGTCGTCTTTTGCAAAGAACGTATGTTGGAGAAAGAATTTTCACAAAATTTTGCATGCCTTTTATTGCCTCCCCTGCCCATAGTCATCTACCTCTTTACCCCTGACCTCTGATAGTATATGTCCTTCAGGAGGGCTGCCTTGATTGCTTGCATGAGTTAGGGTTAGGTTCAGTGGGAACAACGGAAAAACCAAAATGGCAACAGCTTAATGAGGGAGAAGTTTATTTATTTATTTATTTTTATATAGAAGGACCCTAAAGGCAGATGATAGAAGCTCGGCCAGATAGAAGCCCCATGAGCATCAGGAACCAATGACTTGTCTGTCTTTCTGCCTCTGCCATGTTAGCATCTGACTTCCATTCTCAAAATCCAAGATGGCAGTGGGTCCAGCTGTCATCTCTGTGAAGGAAGAGGGAAACATGAGTTAAGAAAAAACCAAAAAGAAAAAAGAAGATCCTCCTCTTAGAGAATTCAGTTAATTTTAAGAGTCATTCCTAGATTTCCTCCATAATACTTATGCTTCAATCTCATTGGCCAGAATTTAGTCAAAACATGCTATCAACCCACTGCGGGGAAGGCTGGAAAATGCTACGTTTTAGGCAAGCACATTGCAAGCTCAAGAAAACAAAAATAAACATAACTAGCTTCTGTTCCTGAGGAATCAAGGAAGAGATGATGAATGGATAGAAGGCAACTCCCCCACTCTGCCTTGGGGCTCCAGCCCACCGCATGGGTGGGTACCGCTTACTGGAGGAAGGCCGGCATGCTTGCCTCATTTAGGGATGTGCAGGATGGTGTTACCCAGGCCCTCAAGAAGCAACCAGTCAAGTGATGTAGACAGACAGTGCTAGTATCTGTGCTGTGGTTAGGGTGCCCATGGGCAGCTTATGGGGTGGTAAAGGGTTCAGTGCCTCTGAGTCTTCTGCATTCTCTCTCATATTTCCTAATTCCAACCTATACAATCCCCTACACACACACACACACACACACATTTTGCTTTCAGACTAATGTACTAATGACATCTGGTAAAGCTGAGAATTCAAGTGATGTTATAATTTGGGAACTCTTGGACCAGTATTGGAATATGGTTGCCAGTGTTCTTGGCCCTGAGGCTATGGGAAATAAGGAATTCTTCAGCATAGCCATAGAAAGTCCTTGGATATCAGTCTTTGCTTTAAGACTAGAATTTAGCTTTCTGAGCTTGTTTTTGGGAAACACAACGGGGAATTACACAGATCTGCCACCACAAATATCTTTTTCAGTTGTGGTTATGTTAGATAGATAAGCAGTCAGCAAAGATAAAGACTTGAAGAACAGTCAACAGGCTTGACATAGCGATCTATAAGAAGTCTACAACCACTAGGTAGATAATAACATATTCTCCTGAGTAATCCCTTGAGTGTTTTAAAAAATTGACAATGCTCTGGGCTGTAAAGGAAATCTCACCCAGTTTCAGAGAATACGAGTCAGACCATGATGCTCTCACCAACATACAGTTCAACCAAAGACAGTAATAAGGTTAATGAAAATATCACCACGTCTTTAGAAAATAAAAAAAAATACTTCTAAATAATGAGTCAAAGAGAAAGACTGTACTGGCAACTAAAAAATAATCAGAGCCCAACAGTAATGAAAATGTTACATATCAAAATTTGCAGAGTGCCACAGAAACTCCTGTGCTTTCAGGAATTTTATACCTTTCAGTGATTATATTCCAAAGAAGAAAGGCTAAAAAATAGCTAAAGAAACTAGCACACGAATAACAGAAGAAACCCCTCAAAATGTATAAAGATTGTGATAGAAAAATAAGAGTATAAATCAAAGAAATGATAGAAAACCAAGAAGAAAATTACGAAGGGATTTGTCTGCATGAAAGAATCATTTGATAAGATTTAATAATCACTCCCAGTAAAATCTCTTAGTGAATCTTTATAATACAGATAACTAGTTTCAGGGTGAAGAAGGCTATTTTAAAAGACATTAATCATAAAATAAAAGATTAATAAACTCAACTACATCGAAATAAGAAAGCTTGCTCATCAAAAATTTTAAAAACTGTAAGAGAGAAGCTAAAAACCGAGAGAAATTATTTGCAAATTAGGTAATTGGAAAAGAATGAGAACTTTAAAATACATAAAGAATAACAAATAAGAAAAATATAAACGGCTCAATAGAAAAAATGGTAAAAGAATATGAAGAGGCAATTTGTGGAAGAGGAAACATGGTTAATAAACATGAAAATATGTTCAGCCTTACTAGTACTAAGGAATGCAAATAAGAGAACATTTTACACCCACTGGTTGGCAGATTAAGAAGTCTGACAGTAGCTGAGCGTTGGAGAGGGTGTGGGGCCAGTGGATCTCTCATGCATTGTGGGTGCAAGTGTGAATTAGCACCATGACTTTGGAAAATAATTTGATTGTCTTGTAAAGTGGAATATGTGTATTTCCTATGACTCTGCAGTCCCACTTCTGGTGATTTATGCAAGATAAATTTCAGCACATGTATACCAGAAGAAAGCTCAAAGCAATGCTGTTCAGTACAGCAGAAAATTGAAAATTACCTGTATGCTCACCATCACAAGGACAGATAAATGATGACATCGTCATACCGAAGTGGGAAAGACTGAGCTACAGCTTTGGGCAACAATGCAGAGATACGTCTTGGAAACATGAATTGAGAGAAAAAAATTGCAGAAGACAACAATCAGTATGGTTACCCCCCCTTTTTTAAGAGCAAAAACAAGTAAAACCAAATAATGTATTTTTAAGCACACACATACAGGATAAAACAAGAAGAATGAGAATCATATCATTGAGGATACAGTGGTTACCTCCGAGTGGGAAGCCGGAGGATGGGACAGGGGAGTCACATATTATGCAGAAATTGTCCGTAAGATCTGGTTTTGGGCACAGATGGTGGGTTTATGGGTGTTTATCGTATCAACATAGAGAAGAGGACAAGCACGGACCAGCGATGATACTGTGTCATGAGCCAAGTTCTACAAGTAGTCCCATCCAGGGCCCCTGATGTGTTTAGGAATAAAAACAAAACTTAATGAATCCTAAGTCAATTTCATTCCTCAATCAACTTTCTGTACTGCACAGCTAAGCCATTTCCAGTGTTTCTTTCTTTTCCATTATCAAATTTTATTCTGCTGAAATTCTCTTCATAGGAATCAGTAACTTAGGATAAATAATTGAATTCATATCAGTATTGACCTTGTCAGGCTTTCTAATTTTTGCTTCTAACATTGTGAGTTCCTTCCTTCCTCCCTCCCTCCCACTCTTTCTCTTTCTTTCTTTCTTTCTTTCTTTCAAGTTTTTATCATAAAAAAAAAAAAATGCCAATCATACGGAATTGGAGCGAAAGCTTTCAGGCCCCCCATGTGTCCATCTCAACTTCAACACCTGTCCGTTCTCGGTCCATCTACATCTGTACCCACTTTCTCCTCCTTCCCAGAATTACTGAGGCAAATCCCAGGAATGGTGTCATTTCATTTGCAAATATTTCAGTAAGTATCTCTAAAAGTTCAGAGCCTCTTTTAAAGCCATGAACAATTACCATTATTATATCAAAATCACTTATTTCTTAGTATTATGAAATATCCAGGCAGGGTTCACGTTCGCCCTATTATCATTCTCTCTCTCTTTTTTAAGATTGATTTATTTGTTTTAGAGAGAGAGGGAGGGGGAGGGGCAGAGGGAGAGAGAGAATCTCAAGCAGTCTCCCCACTGACCGTGGAGCCCTTTGGGGGACTTGATCTCATGACCCATGAGATCACGACTTGAGCCCAAATCAAGAGTCGGCCGCTTACCCGACTGAGACACCCCGGTTTGTTTAAATCAGGAGCCAACTAAAGCTCCCTCATTGTGATCCGGTGCACTGGCTTTCCAGTCTCCTTTAACCAAAGCTTTCTCCTGTTTCACTTCCTGCCTTTATCCTCAGAGTTTTGCTGTTATTCAGCTCGTTGCTTATGTCGTAGCAACTAGGTTGTCAGCAACTAGATTAGATCGTCTTGTCGCATTTTCCACTGTCTGGGTGCTGCCGAGTGTATACTTATCATGTCATGTAACCTATTCTTCTGTGTTTCCGGTAAGTTGGCAGTGAGCTGTAGACCGAACTGGGCTCCACGGAACAGGGTGGGCAAGCTACAGCCTGTAGGTGGGCTACTTCCCACCCAGGTTTGTTGGTGCACGTGGTGTTTTATTGGAACACCATTTGCATATTGTCTCTGGTGCTTCCCCAGCTACTAGGACAGAGTTGGGTAGTTGGGACAAAGACTGCAGGCCCCTCAAAACCTCAAGTAATTCCCATCTGGTCCTTTGCAGAGAAAGGCTGCCGGCCCCCAGATTAGAGGCTTGGTCATTTTCCAGGTTGATGTTTCTCTTTGAGGTGTATGTTCTTCCCTCGGGAGACACATTCTGTTGGTTTTCTCTCTTTCTCTGCTCTCTGGAGCCGGGGATGAACATGCCTGGCCCATTGATTCATTGGAGTTGCCATAGTGTTGATATGCTAACTCTGTCTTTCCCTCTGGGCATTAACTGGAATATTCCTGCAAAAAAGAAACTTCCCTAGATTTCTCTTTTTTTATCCATGATTTGCACGAAGTCCAGTTTTCCTCGGACCGATTTTGAAATTCTACATTTTTGCTACAAGTATTCCATAAAATGGTTGCACTTTCAACTATGTCCCTGTTTGGAAAGTAGGGCGAGAATGCAGTTTCCTTCCGATTTTTATTTCTCAAAGCCTGCTTGAATTCGCTGTGTTCGCAGGTGGCGGTAGAGACCAGGGCTGTCATAGCGTGGATGGAAAAAATCCCCTTTGTCCTGGGCGGCAACCTGCAGGGGGGCGAGCTGGTGGTGGCGTACCCCTACGACATGGTGCGGTCCCTGTGGAAGACACAAGAGCCCAGCCCCACGCCCGACGACCACGTGTTCCGCTGGCTGGCCTACTCCTACGCCTCCACGCACCGCCTCATGACCGATGCCAGGAGGAGGGTGTGCCACACAGAGGACTTCCAGAAAGAGGACGGGACTGTCAATGGGGCCTCCTGGCACACTGTCGCCGGAAGTAAGTCTCGGGTGGCCTCGCTGTCATTGTGCAGCCAAACGTGGCAATGGATGGCTGGGACAGGGAGGGACCCGGCCGTCCCTTATCATTTGTCATGGGGATAGTAGTGACTGTAGTCTGGCTTTGACAGGGTGCCAGCACTCTACGCAGACTCCTCCTTCATCCTTCCGATAGTCTTGGGGTGTGTGGCTACTCCCCGTTTTATGAACAAGATCACCAGGGCTTGGAGATCTGAAGGGATCTCTCCAAGCAAGAAAGGGGGCAGAGCTGCATCTGCTTGGCCCGCTCTCAGCACCGAGCTACTCGGATTCTGTAGCGTCAGAGATGGGTAAATGTAGACTTGCAAGGAAGTATCAGATCAAAAACAAACCCAGCAGAGGGGCAGAGAGCATGTGTGTGTTGGTGCTGGGGCTGGGTGTTTTTACCCAGAGCTGTGCCCGTCATGGGGGTGTCCCATGCTGTAGGCCCCCAGAAGGGCCGGGCATTGATCCCACACTCAAGTGTGAAGTGACTCCAAGCTGCAGGTGTGTCCTGAGGCCCGATGTGTGGTGAACACTGTTATACACACCTCCCGTCTGCTGGAGGTCGGTGGCCCGGCCTCCCAGGCAGACCAGGGCATTTGGTCGAAGCCCGCCCGTGTGCGATGCGGGGAGTATGCGGTTTTGCTCCTGGCATCCACACAGGACCAGAGGGGCCTCCAGCAGGGACTTCGGGAATTCCTTCATAGCAGCCACAGAGGACCCTGGGGTCCCATTTCAGGATAAGCTTTCTTTGCTGCGTCCGGGATGTGCCGGCCCAGGGCTCCCAGACGAGGAGGGATGAGGGTGTCACATTTCCTAAGGTCCCCCAGCTTTGGGATGGCAAGACCCCAAGCATGATGCTCGCTGCTTATTTTCTTGACTTTGTTAGGGTTGTCGAACCACCGATGAATTTGAAAAACGTTCCATGTCAGCTAGACCTAGATTCACATTCCAGTTCATCCCTCAGATGCTGTATGACTCCAGGGGAGTTCCTTGACCTCTCTGAACCCCATATTTTCCATTTGCGAAATGGGCATGATGGTAACAATGAAGATGGTGAGCCCTTTGGGACTGTCGTGAGGCTCACGTGGGTGGCAGGTGTGGGGTGTTCTCTGTCTAGCTTACCAGAGAAGCATACAGCTTTGACCCACTCCCCTGTCTGCCTTCCCCCCTCTTCCCATAGTGTATGCTCACATTCACACCTCCTGCTCTCTTTTTCCCTAATTAACCATCATATTATTTCCCTTTGCTAGATTCAGCCTTCACGTGCTTTTCAGGTATGTGTCCGTGCTTGGGAAAAGAAAACTAAAAAAGGAGTGAACAGATTTGTTCCCGTGGCCATGTTTTAACATGTACAGAAAGCTTGCCATTTTCTTCTGGGTTCCCTACCCAGCAGAGGTGTTTTATTTATTTACCATCATAGTTTTGCCCTGCACAAAAAAAAAAAAAAAAAAAAAGGCAAATCCCTGCCAATCGAGAGAATTTTCTAATGGCCAAAAACCATTCTTGCTTTGCAGGTCTAGCCCTGAAAACCGGCCACAGCCTTAACGTGAACGATCTGTTTATTTTTCACGGCTGCCTGCAAGTACCTCGGGTATAGACCCAGCTGGATTCGCCGGCGCCAGGTCAATAGTCACGTTTTGAAAAGTTGGCTGCCACATAATCACATAGGCAGCATTTGATTTTTTCCTATCAATTATATTTTCCATTATTTCAGGGACTTCTGTGGCAGAGCCATGGGGCGGCTCGAGCCTTCTTAATCATTCGTCCTCCTGGTGGTGTGAGGAAGTGTGCAGATTCCTCTCTCCGTAGATTAATGAAATGTGACTTCTAATTTCCTTCCCTCCCCCTCCACCTCCACTCCATCTTTTTGTTCGGTTCTTGCTCGCTCATTAGCAGCGACTGGCAGGCATTAGTTAATGGAGATGGGGCCGTGGAGAGCAGGCTTCAGGAAAGCTCAAAACACACATCATTTGTAGCGTGTGCATCTCAACTCCCAGAGTGACGCCAGGCCCCCTTGGTTCCCAGGCTGCCACCCTGCATCCTCTGCCCCATAATGAAGTGCACGTTGAACTGGTGATGGGCACCCGGGCCTTAAGGAAGGCACAGCTCCGTGCTCCACGCGGGAGCCGAGACAGTAGGATTCTAGGCCAGGAGAGCACAGAGGAACATCTTGCCCATCCCGCTGGGACGTGGGGTGTGGGGAGGGGGGTCTGTCTGGGTCACGCCGCAGTTCCTTGCCCACACGTCATGCTTTTGCAACCATTCTTCAGCAAGTATTCTCGGCTCATGCCATTTGCTGCTGGGCCAGAAGTCAGCAGCAAAGGTAGCCTGGCTCAAGCTTTTCCGCCCTTCTCCTGGCTTCTCAGCATTTCACGCATTCGTCTGGTACTTTTAGTGCTTTGAAGACACGTGGCAGGGTGGCAGGCCCACTCCAGAGTTTCATATGTAACACTGATTTATTTCCGTATCACCAAGGCCTGAAAGGCTGGGCGTAATGAGAATGTTATAGGCACAGAGGCATCCAGCCCTCTCAGTTGTATCCTGCCTGTGCTGACTAGTGGGCCTGGTGTCTGTCAGCCACACTCTGCCCTCTTGAAATTCCATACTTCGGGTTCAAGTGGATGCGTTGACGTGGCCTTTTGACCAGCCTTCTCCAGCCAGACCAAACCCCTGTGAAGAATGTCCCATTGACGTGACAGGGTCCCACCCCTTCCATCCCGCAGCTCTCTGCCTGTCTTATCACAAACGTGGTCAAAGGCCAACCTGGTGACATGTGAGTGGTTCAAATCTGGAATCCTCCAGAGAGGGCGGCTGTATGTTTTGTACCATTTTGCTCATGACGTTAGTGATTAGGCAGCAGATTGATGTGGAATTGCTCTTGCCCCCCAAAGCCATGATTTTTAATCAGGCATTTCTCCTAAGCAGGACATCACTGAGCGTGATGGCGAGGTAGGCAAGAAGGAGGGAAGATGCATGGTGAGGACCGAGGCTGGTTGCGCAGGAGGACCTGCTCCTTCTCAGTCACCACAGAGAAACCCAGCACGCCCCACTCTGCTCTCTCAGCCCTGACCCTCGGAACCCAAGGGGGGCTCGTAGAGGGGCTCCTGCAGGGCATGTGCTTCCTGCGGCCACGCACAGCATAGCTGCACTGTGTTCTTGCTAATCACCCTGTTGCCCAAAAACAAAAACGTCAGGAAGAATGCCACCTAACATTCATTTCTTCGCTTCGCAAATACTGGGTGCTAGAGTGGGTTGAATGGTGCCCTCCCCTGAAAGAGTATATATCTGCTTCCTAATCTCTGCAACCTGTGAATGTGACCTTATTTGAAAAATGGGTCTTTGCGGTGTAATCAGGCAAGATGGGGCGCGTTCAGGGTGGTATGGCCACAGACATTGCAGGTGCAATTAAATTAAGGGTCTCAAGGTGAGGGTATCCTGGGTTACCTAGATGGGCCCTAAAATCATTGATAAATGTCCTTAAGAGAAGGCAACACAGACACAGGGGAGAAGGCCACGTGAAGACAGAGACAAAGGTCAGAGTGACGTAGCCACAAGCCAAGGGACGCTGGGGGCTGCCAGAAGCTGGAAGAGACGAGAAAGTTTCCTCCCCTAGAGCCCCTGGAGGGAGCACAGCCCTGCCAACACCTCGATTTCAGACCCCCAGCCGCTAGAACTATGGGAGGATACATTTCTGTTGTTTTAAGCCCCCCAGTTTGTGGTCGTTTGTAACAGCAGCCCTAGGATGCTGATGTGGAGCCTGACCCCATGCCAGGCTGGGCGTTTCACGTCCTGTTGCAATAGTGTCGGATGTTCGAGATCCCTCTGCCGTCAGGCTCGGTGGGTGAGTGTGCTCGTCCTGCGGCCCCCGAGCAGCCAAGCCCTGGAGATAAGAGCAAGGTGTTGGCATCACACATACCTGGTTCAAACCCCGAACCCAATGTTCTGGGTACATTGCTTAGCTGTTCTCTACCTCCATTTTCTTATTCATGAAACTGTGCTGCCTGCCTCTCTGCTGAGTTTGTGGTCAGTGGATGCAGAGCGCTAAGGACAGGTCTGGGCTCGTGGATGGCACTCAGTGGAGGGCGGTCGGGGTAGCTCTTGGTATGAATTAGAACAGAACACTGTTCCAGAACTGCAGCTGAGAGAGAGTAACTAGAGAGAGAAACTTAATCAAATGCTTAGAATCCGTACTGTTAATTCATGGTAGCTTTAGTCTAAAAATAGTGTGTTAAACTGAGTTTAATAAGCAGAATTTTATCTGAAAAGCACTTATTTCGGTCTTCCTTTTGTCAGAGTTGTTCCCGTGTACTCCTGTCTTCCCCAGAAACCATTCTGGCTACATCTTCTCTCTCCCTCCCCAGCCCCTCCCCTCATCTTTGCTATAATTCATTTGTAGTCTACAGTAGATACTGGACACCTCCTTGTTCAAATGAGGTCTTCTGAATCCCGTTCTTGAACATTCTTGCTGTCTCCCTCCTGCCCCTTGTCACTGTTTGGTGACAGCATTGTCCGGTTGGCTTGGCAGGTCTCAATGATTTCAGCTACCTTCACACCAACTGCTTCGAGCTGTCTATCTACGTGGGCTGTGACAAGTATCCGCACGAGAGTGAGCTGCCCGAGGAGTGGGAGAATAATCGAGAGTCCTTAATCGTGTTCATGGAGCAGGTATGGCATGAGCACACATCGGGGTGGGGGCTGGCAAAGGAATGGGGCCTATTAGGGGACTGAAAGCCTGAGACTGAGTTGAGTTAGTACTTGGGACTCCGGCTGTCATGCTGGGCCAGCCCCAAACAGTGCTAGAAGAACCACCGTCTATCTGCACTTGATTCAGCCCTGCAGAGTGAGCTGTAAAGCCTTGTCAATGGCTCACACTGGGTCATCACAGTGAGTGTGACCAGATGCTGCCCTGTGGGGAGGGGATGACATGTCCGAGCCAGCATGCTCAGGCCCCCTGTGCTAGTCTGCTAGGGTTGCATAAAAACAGACACCAGGGGGGCTCAAGCAACAGAAATTACAGTTCTGGAGGCTGGACGTCCAAGATCAAAGTGCTGGCAGGTTTTTTCATTCGGAGGAGCCTCCCTGGCTGGCAGATGGCCGTCTCCTCTCCTTGTCCTTATATAGTCTTTCCTCCATGCACACACACTCCTGGTGCCTCTGTGGGTCCCCATTTCCTCTTATAGGGGAGGGAGTCAGATTGGATCAGAGCCCACCCGAATGACCTCATTTTAACTTCATCACCTCTTTAAAGACATGGTCTCCAAATACAGTCACATTCTAAGGTCCCAGGAGTAAGGACTTCACCATGGGGATTGTTGGAAGATACCGTGGTGCCCACCATGGCGGTGAGGCTGAGAGGCTCTGCTGCAGGTGTGGGAGGCTCCTGGGAAGAGGTCCCCCGAGCCCCTGCCAGGGTTCTGCTTGCAGTTGGTGAGGAAGCCCTGCTGGATCCACTAGGCACCTCCCCCGCCTTCCCTTCCTCTTGCTCCCAAGGACACACCCATCCTGTAGCATTGAGTAAACCAATTCTAGGTCCGTGCTACAATGAATCCAGTAACATCCATGCCCCACTAAGGAACAGACTAACCGGAAACCAGAGGAATAAACAAAAGGAATGTTGGGCCTCAATTATGTGACTCTACTGTGACTCCCATCCATTAGGAAGTGTGGTTCTGAGGCTTGGCAGGATCGTGCACGGAGGCCGCCCCTTCCACGGGTTGTTGTAGATGAATCAGAAGACACTTTTCAGGCAGTGCTCAGGCTGCCAGCTTCCTGGTACCTGCACCTCCACCTCCACTGACCTTGGCAGAGGTGAGCCCTGGCACCTAGCGTCCCAGTCTGCCCCACGAGGGTCTCTGGAGACTCTGTGCAGCCCTTGCACAGAGTGCACTTGCCTGGCACAGTGGGTGTGAACCTGTTCTTTCCTCTTGGGAAGCTATGAGCACACTCTCTGTCCACGCCCTGGCATTTTGTGAGTGAAGGCTCTTTTTCATTTCATCTATGAAAAGAGAGAAGGCTCTGATCATTCTCAAGTAATCCCGTGCCACCAAGGCACCTGCTATGGATAAAATGCCCAGGCACAGTAATACGTATAGTGTCATTGGAAATGATAGTATGTCACCTGCGATTGTCACATCGTTCTATGGATGGGGAAACTGAGGCACGAGGTTCAGAGTGATGTGTATCATGTGACACAGTTCATCAGCAGAAGGGCCCTATGGATGGAGTTGTAGTTTATAGGAATGCCTTTGACTCTTTTCTTTTCTCTCTGACCCTTAAGTGGTTGGGTCTACATATTAGGTCCACAGAGTTCAGGAAAGTCTAAACAAATGTGCCTAGAAAAAATTAAATTCCATTTTTACTGGGTGTGCTTGATATGAACCATCTCAGATCCTAATATTTTTTAAGCCTCTGGAATATCTGAACTCCGATGGAAGACTTCCCAGTACATGGACCCAAAGGGAACCCAGAAGTTTACACACCAAATCCAGGCACAGCCAGGGAGCTTTTGAGCTAGATAAGGTGCTGAAAGGGTTCCCGGTGGCCCTGGGGTGGCGTTCGGCTTACAGCCTCCTTCACCATGTGCTTTGGGTCAAGTGCATCATGAGCTCACCCCGTTTCTTGTTGTGTTTGCTGAGCAGGTCCATCGCGGCATCAAAGGTGTGGTGAGGGACTTCCATGGGAAAGGAATTCCGAATGCCATTATCTCTGTGGAAGGCGTTAACCATGACATCCGAACAGGTAACCACGAGCATAGACGAACTGTCTCTCGGTAGGGAATGTCTGTTTTCTCGAAGCGTTTTACTTGGGTTAAAATCACATGTCAAGTGCCGGAAACTTCTTACGGAGAGCTGAATTCTTGTCTCTTTCCTCGGACACCCCATGCAGACCCTGGAAAGCATGATTTTCAGCCTGTGCTTTCTGCTTTTTCCCTTATTCAGGTGAAAACTAGAGGTGCAGGGAGGTAAAAGGACCCACTGGTGGTTTAAGGGGCAGGTGGGGCCCGGGTTCGGGTGTTGGACTCCCAGCCCCAGCATGGCCCTGCTCACTCAGGGCTTCCCCGCTGCTGGGAAACCCATGTAGTTTTCCCTTGTGCCCAGGACCGTTGTTGCCCAGGATGGTACTCGGTGCACCCAGAGCCAGGTAAGGAGACAGTGACCTTGACTGTGACAGGGAACGTGTGCAACGTGATGCAGTGACAGGTGCGCGGGGGAGAGAATTGGCTAGAAGCCTAAAGCAGGTTGTCTGCAGGGGTTCTGGTGGTGATGGTGTGTACGGGGGCCTGCTGACACCCACGCACTGGGGTTTTCGGCCGCAGGGAGACTGCAGAGCGTGGTGTCATCACCATGGGCAGATGGCTTTGCATTGGTGTCAGCTGCAGTGGGCGGGGGGCATTGGGTCCTGTGTTGGTTTCCAGTGCGTGTCGTGAAGATGACCACAGACTTACAAGATCAGAAATGTAGTCTCTCACAGTTAGGGAGGCCGGAGGTATGAAATCCTGGTGTCAGCAGGGCGGTGCTCCCTCCGGAGCCCTCGGGGAGGACCCTTCCTTGGCTCTTGCAGCTTCCTTGGCCACGTCACTCCACTTCTTGCCTCCATCTCTGTGGCCTCCTCCTCTGCCTCCTCCTCTCTGCCTCTTATAAGGACACCTGTCATTGGATTTAGGGCCCCCCCGGGTCATACAGGATGATTTCATCTGGAGATCCTTAATTGTATCTGCAAAGATCCTTTTCCCAAATAAGGTCACATTTAGAGGGTCTGGGTAGTAGAATGTGGGCTTCTGGAGACCATGATTCAACCTACTCCAGGTCCCACCCGGGCACCGAGCACAGACTCAGCAGCAGGAGAAGGGAAATCGTGATCGCCACGAGAAAGACTTGTTCAGCCCTCGGACACACTCGAACAACTGGGAGAAACAGGATTTGAGGCTGACTCGGCAGGTGTTTAATGCGGTCTGACCTTGACCTGTTGGTTCAAGAGTTTACACTGGACAGGGCAGCCAGTGGCCCGGGACTGAGAGGGTTCTCAGGATGTGTGACTGTCAGATTTAAAACAAGGGCAATCCCAGGGAAACTGGGCCAAGTCTATCTTGCTCCTGTGCTCCCCATGTGTTATCACTTGTATGGCCTGTGATGGCTGGAATGATCTACAACGTGCGGATGAGGAACAGAGGCTCAGCCTTGGTTCTGCCCCACCCCCACCCCCAGTCTAACAGCACACGGATGCAGTATCTATGCCCGCTCAGCATCTCCTCGGCTGCTGGCTGGTCTCAGCCCCGGCCCCTGTCGGAGTCACTGTGGTACCCCCAAAGCCATACGGGATTGGGCTACCGGTTACCTCCCAAACCTCTTCTTCTGGGGTGACCAGCTCTCTTGGTTTGCCCAGGACTGTCTCCATTTAAAACTGAAAATCATGAGTCCCGGTTTTGGTCAAACAGGAATATTTGCTCCCCTGTGCTTTCTGCCCTCTCCCACAGCCCTCCAGGCTCCTTCCTGGAGGGCTGAGGCCACACGTCGGGGTCCTCGCTCTAGCACCTCGTGCCGCCTGAACCTCCTTTCCTTAAGAATCCCTTGGTTCCTTCCTTGTCCTTTTCAGGTCTTTGTTCAGCTGTCACTCTGTCAACAAAGCCAACCACAGTGACCACCTTTTCTAACATTGCACACCTGCCCCTACCATCTGTGATTCTTCCCGGCCTCCTGCCTTCTCCTCCCATAGCGCTTCCACACCTGACATCTGACTACCATCCTTCTGGTGTCTCTGCCCCTCCCTCGCTGGCTTCTAGACCAGGGGTCCTTGACCCTTTTGTGCCTCAATTAAGTACAAGCACACTGCCTGGCATTCAGTAGGTGCTTAATATTTATTGAATGAATGAATGAGTTCGAATGAATGAATGGACCCGACATGTTGTTTCTGGTAGCACAGAGGGGCTGAGCTGGGATTTGAGCCAGGGGCTAGGGACTGCGAATGCGGTGCCCCTGTGTTTGCCCCCTGCTGTCCCTCCTGAGGGGACAGGAGCCTCTTCTCTGGATTGTTCACAGGCATTAACAGACCCAGTCCTTCAAACAAGCGATCCCAACTGACCTTCAAGGAAATGGAGCCTCTGGGACCGTAGGAGGGGGGAGGCTGGGCTTCACACATCGCCCACGTGTTCTTCAGCGCCATGCTGACATGACTGCCTGCCGACATGCCCGGTACAGGAGGCCAGGGATTGTTTAAATGGGTGAATTGTAGCTGACATGCCACAAAATAGTAGACCGCTGTGTAATGCCATGACGTGCCTCGAATTTTCTGAACCTGCCTACTGTTTGTCCTTGACCTCATAGCCGCTGCCCGTGAGCTTTCCCGCCGTGCAGCAAGGCGTTCAGGACATAGCTGCCCTTCACCTGCGTCCGCGGGGCCGTGCGTTCGTTCCCGGACTCATCCGTCCGTTCGTCCATTCGTTTGTTCACAGGTTCTGAACGCGGGGTGCTGGTGATCATTACGAATTGAGGGGGGCTGCTGTATCTGGCTCCGCATAGGACTTGTATTTTAAGCATTGCTACCAAGCTCCTGTAAAAGAAAGATTCACAAAAGAACCTAGAATGTTCTTGGGACTATTAGTGCTTGGTATGCCATGTGAGAAAACAGGAGGGTTTTAAGTGGGGTGGGAGAGAAAGAGCCCCCCGAGCCCCACAAGCCAGAAGAGAGCGCTGTGCCCAGTGAGCTCGGAACCTCGAGGCCCTGTGATCACCAAAGTGGTTTGGATGAGCCGATGGGAGCCGCCTCCCCCTCTCCTTTATTTCCCCCTAAAATAATGTCCCAGTGTATTCTCCTGATAGATGAACTCTACTTTACATATGGTTCCTTATCATATTTATTTCGGCGTCTTTCAGTGCTCAACATACGCTCTGAGTTTGCCTTGATCTCTCTCCAAGGCTTCTGTGATCTGACAAGTTTTCTTTCAGGAGGGATTTTGCATAAAATCAACAGGGGAATTGAAATCCAAGGAGAGAAGCTAGTCAGAGTACTTTCTAAATGCATGCAAAGATGTTGGCCAAGCACCTGGCTCAGAATGCCCCATGACCGTCCTCTGTCTGGTGGACACTAACCTGACCTGCTACCGAATGGACATTTGTGAGCATGTGGGTTGTCCCTCTGTCCACCGTGCTGAGCGACACCAGCTGTGTACCCACCCCCAACCCCACAGCTCGACAGAACATTCACCCTTGAACACAGACCTGGTTGCCCTGTGGGATAGTAACCTACCATGCTGACCCCTGAATTTTATGAAGTGGATGATTCTAGACTTTACTGGTGGTCGGGGGAAGAAACTGAGATTACAAGAGCCTTGGGGAGAAGTGTGGGGAAAGCCTAACCAAGAACTTTTGGGGGAGAGGGTGCATTGCCAGGTAGAGGAGAGCATCCATGTTTCAGAAGTAGAAACTTGTTGATTCCAGAGCGGACACCCCTCATTCTGATTCTGTGAACCTAAACAAATTCCTGATAGTTTCATTCATTCTTTGAACATATCTTACGAAGAACATCCTGTGTGTTGGCCTAGAGCTACTGTGGTAAAGGAGACAAATATGGCCACTCACCTCAGGGAGTAGACATTCTAGCGGGGGAGATCTACAAACAATTATAAAGGAAAACTTTAAAGTTAATTGCACACTATGGTGAGAGCCAAGGAAGAAAGACTTGGGATAATCTGTAGGAACCCAGGGGAAAGCAAAGGAAGTTTCCCTCTCCGAAGGGTGAATTGCATCGTGAGGCTCAGGCCAGCTGACTGCATGACAAAGAATTCATCATGGGCTTTTGCCTGCTGCCAAGCATGAGGTGGCATTTTATTTCGTTGAGAAGCTTGCATTTTTTCCCTAAGGAAGATGCAGGGCGCAGCCCCGAGGAACCGGGGAGCAAGCCGCCTGCGCTGGGTGGACCCCAACTCTCCCCACTGAGGCCTGTTTGCCAGTGAGCGGGCCATATGTACGTGTGGCAGACGGCTGCCTACGGAATCCATTTTTCACAACACGTTCTCGGGAGCTCACTTACTTGCGTGGGGGTGTCTCCGCTGAATAAAGATGGTAACTTCGACCTGACGCTTCAGAGTGTCCTACGTGAGTTTGGGGGAGATAGACAGTCGCACACACACACGGCGCTGCTCCCGTCCCTTCGAAGACTTCAGGGCTTGTGGTCGACAAGGGAGCCCGGCCCGGGGCCTCCTTACCCCTCTCCTTTTTCTTCTGGCACCAAAGCCTCGGAATGGGTGGGACACCCAGGTTGCCGTGAGAGAGAGAGCCGAACCTGGTGCTGGGGGGCCTGCTGGTGACTGGCCGGGTGACCTCATGCCGGACATCATGCCTCCCTGGGCATCAGATTACTGACGTGGAAAGGGGACTCATCATGCAACCTGCCTCAGAAGTTTGCTTGCAGATTCAGCGGATCAGTGCCTGCCTTGACCTTCTGGGCGCCACGTCCTCCATGGGTGGGTGGGGGAGGTCACTGGTGACCCCTTCTTCGCCTCAAAGCCTCTTTTCAGGTCAGGGGTCTAAGTGTCCTCAGCCTGTTGTAGGCTCCTGGGAGGAGAACGTTGGCCTGGAAGCCCTCTCTGCAACAGACGTGGAGTCCAGAGCTAGGGGTGGACCCGGGGCCCCGACGTGTTATTGGGTGACTGAGCAGCAGTGTCGCGGGGGAGGGGGGAGCTCCGCTTCGCAGCACCGCTGTCTCGGCTCCTACAGCTTCACGTTTCTCTTGCCGCCCCCGCCCCCTGGGCCCAGGAATGCAGGTACCAGGCCTCCTCGCAGATCATTTGGCCCTGGTCCCCTGGAGTCTTTTCTCTTTTCAGAAGTGAAGAGCCCCACCTCTTAAAAGAATTACTCTTCTGTATTTATCGCCAGGCTAAGGGAGACCAGGTAGCCAGGCGCTGATGGCTTTTCAAGATGGCATTTTGTGGTGAGGGCATAGCATTTGGAAGCTCAGGCTCATAATGAACAGCGTGTATTGTCACAGAGGAGAGAGTGTGAGTGATCATTTCTCCATCTTCACTCATGTGTATGAACACTGTGGGGAGCCTACACCCCAGCCCTCTGCCTGTTAAAACCATTAAGGTGGCTTCCAAAGAGGAAAATAAGAATTTGCAAAAAAAAAAAAAAATTTGTCCCTGCAGAGGCTCGAATTCCACGAGGCCAGCCTCTGAGTCTCTCTCTGGCTGGGACACCGGTTCTGGAATAGCAGGGCTGGTGGTATCTGCCTTAGAAGAGAACTGCTCTGAATTCACCTCCTTTCTCTTCACAGCCAGCGATGGGGATTACTGGCGCCTCCTGAACCCCGGAGAGTATGTGGTCACAGTCAAAGCCGAAGGGTTCACCTCATCCACCAAGAACTGCATGGTCGGCTATGACATGGGGGCCACGCAGTGTGACTTCACACTCAGCAAAACCAACCTGGCCAGGATCAGGGAGATCATGGAAAAGTTCGGGAAACAGCCCATCAGCCTGCCAGCCAGGCGGCTGAAGCTGCGGGGGCGGAAGAGACGACAGCGCGGGTGACCTCCCAACACTTGAGACCTGTCCCGGACCCGTGCAAATTAAACTACCCCCAGTTGTAGCTCCATAGAGGACTCGCTCCCTATTGTTTTCTCTGTAATTCACGAAGGCCTGGGAGAATGTGTGTATTGAAAGCCTGGTCCCGAGGGGAGGGCTGAAAGCTTAGGATATTTGTTGTTGTCTTTGTCCCATTTATCCAAATAACTCAGATCAGCAGAGAAAGGCTGGTAGGAGTGAGAATTCAGCAACTCAACCTGAGAATTAGAGACAGAGAGGGGGTTTGCCAGCTCGGGGTCTCCTGGCTGCACCGGAAGGGAAGCCGGTGCTCCCCTCCCCCTACTTGCTTGTGTTAGATCACACGGAATAGAACATTTCCGTGACTTCCAAGGCTTGTGACAGCAAGAGGTCCTCGTGCATTTGCATTTTGCGTGGCTCCAGTTGCAGCACTCCTGGGGCCCTGCGGTGCCAGAAGTTACCATCTGAGATGCTCACGGGCATTCTGACAGAACCCACCCTCTCTGGCCCCGGGACATTCCAAGCTGCCACAGATTAATTCCATGCTCTGTTGACAACAGAGCCATTACCAAGTGAGCATCTGTGAGCCTCTTGAATCCATATAGTCCCCCTTTCCACAAAGGACTGTGTTTATAAAAGGAGAAAAATGCTGAACTAGTTCACCAGTGATTGGTGGGCAGCCGGAGTGCAGGGTCCACAGAGAACCCCCAGGCTCCCTGCTGGTCCAGCAGCCCCGGGTGCCGCCCTGGACAGGGACAAGCAGAAGAAGGCGCCCTTCCCAAGGGAGTCGATCACTCAGCCTGGCTCCCCTCTTTGACCTGCAGGACTCGAGAAGGGCCGGAGGGAGGCTGACTTGCAACCCTCTCTCTGCTCAAGATGTTCCTCCTTTCATAGAAATGAGCGCTCATAAGTTGGCCTAACATCACCAAGGGAGTTATTTTTGATGTGTGGGATGCCAGACCTTCCACTTAGGCCAAATGTGATGAAAAGCTCTTAGAGTTATCTGTGGAATATTGGTTTGGGAGGGGTGATACAAGAAAACACTTTGTCTTCTTTGTATGAACGTTGCTGCCTCACTGACCTGGGGAGAGTAAGAAGAATAAAGCAAGCTGATGGTGAGATCCTTCCAGCGTGTGGTTTTCCTGGGCAGACTCGCCACCACCCAAATGCCATGCCCACTGCCTCTCCCTGAGGTCAGTCCCTCCAGAGGCGGTGCCGGCCTGGGGAGGGGTACCCTGTGCCCCTCACCAAGCTTGGTACTGCTGCTGACAGCTGTGTGTCTCCTGCCTCCTTCCCAGGGGAGCCACGTGCCTGGGTAAAATCATCCTGATGCTGGGCAGCCACTGGTGACTGCTGGGGATGCCAGCGAGCATCTTTCCAGAAAAGATCCTTATGCAGCTTTCCGACCGTCTACCCCAGAGATGGCAAACTTGCCTTATAAAGGATCAGGTAGTAAAGATTGCGGGCTTTGCGGCCAGTTTCGGTCGCAGGTACTCAGCTCGGCTGCGGTAGCTCAGAAGCAGACAGGCATGTAATACACCAAAGAGCAAGCGTGGCTGTGTTTCAATAAAACTTTATTTACAAAAACACGTGATAGTTGGATTTGAACCCCCAGGCTGGGGCACAGCTCGCTGACCCCCATTCCAAATCAGCACTATGCAATAGAACTTTCCATGGTGATGGAAAGGTTCTATTCCGTGCGATCTAACACAGTAGCCCCTGGCCGCGTGTGGCTAGAGAGTGCTGGAAACGTGGCTCGTGCAACTGGGGGCCAGAATTGCTGGTGTTAGATAACTTCCATTCATTTAAATTTCACTTGTAATAGCCATATTAGCCCGTGCAGCTCCCCGTGCAGCCCACGGTAGGAAGAACTGACCTGGCGTCGTCAGATGGGTGTATGAAGAAAGCCCTTGCAGGGGTGAACTGGCACTATGTTCAGAAGGGCTGTAGCCATTCCAAGTGCCTCAGCAGACCGCCTTTGTCAGGGCCCTGCACTGGGTGCCAGAGTGGCTCAGTCTTATCGCTGGTGACTAGCCCTGTCCCCTTCGGGCAACATGCTCTGCCGTCTGCAGGCCCACTGTCGGCCCTGGCCCACCGGCCAGCGTCCCGGGCTTGCAGGCCAGGGCTGTGGGCTCTGGGCCTGTGCCACCCCTAGTATGTGGCCTTGGACCCGGCAGCCTCTCTACTCTCCCATCTGTTCCTGCAAAGTAAAGCTAGGCTGGCTGTGGTGTCCCCTGATTTCTGGGGGAGAACGGACACTGGATTCCTCACGCCCTGTTCTGTTGGAGCTGTTTCTCCACTCGGCCCTTTCAGTGGGCGCCCTGGCACCTCCATACTAGCTGCCCCTCTCCAGGCCTTCAAGCCCCGAACACCTTTCCTGACCTAGCTCCTGGAGCTTCTCTGCTATGCGACTTCCACCTGCTTTCAGCCAGAATTCCCCCTCCTGGATCTTGCCCACAGGCTCGGCGTGGGCCTCCGCAGGTCTCTCCCCAGATGGAAAACCCTTCTGCTTTTCTCTTGAGACCCGTCTTGAAATGCTGCCTCCTACAGGAAGCCTTCCGCCCTCTCCTGACCTGGACATGTTTGAACAGGTCTGCAGAGCCCTCAGGGCCTCAGAGGGACCGTTCCCCATCCCTTTCCACTGGAACTTTTATTGCTTCTGGTTCTCTCTGCCTTTGGACTGGAAGCTCCCCAAGGGCCGGAACGATGCCCCCTGAGTACCTGCTCCCCCAGGGCTGGCTCGGCTCCATCCTCACAGCAGGTGCTCCACAAACACGTATAGAATCGAACTGGCCTTGTGCCTTGTGGTGCTTTTCTTTTAGGATTCCCTTATAAGGTAAGAAAATGTGACTTCAGAAATTGAAAATGCGCCACTTGAATTTCGTGTCTTTATCTCGTCAGTGAAGTCTGGTATTTGGCTGAGCACAACAACATGTCTAAAAAATGTATAGGCTTTGCTTTCTATCTGGATGTTTTCCGACAGCATAAAATCAACACAAAACCTCTGCTTCTGGCAGAGAATCCTGCGTCTGTTTATCCCTGTCCTCCTACTCAAGGCTGAGGAAGCTGCAGCAACACCGCTCTTTTTAACGTGAGCTGTGTTTTGTGTTGAAGGGCACTTAAGGAGCTGCCCCAAATCTTCCTCAGCCACCACCACTCATTTTCTTTAAAGATTTTATTTATTTATTTGACAGAGAGAGAGATAGCGAGGGCAGGAACACAAGCAGGGGGAGCGGGAGAGGGAGAAGCAGGCTTCCTGCCCCAGGGAGCCCGATGCGGGACTCGATCCCAGGACCCTGGGATCATGACCTGAGCCGAAGGCAGACGCTTAACGACTGAGCCACCCAGGTGCCCTACCACCACTCATTTTCTGTGACTGCAACAGGAAACCTCAGGATTTCTTCAGGCTTTGTGTCACAAAGACCTTAGGAACCACTTTAGAACGACATCACCCTATTAACGTGGGAACTAGCCACGCGGTAGCAAGGATGCTATATTGACGTGGGGTCTTAGGTGGCCGGGCCAGAAGAGCGTCTCAAGTGTGCAGGTTCTGAATTGGCTCTAGTGGTCACCCCCCTGCCTGGAGGAGCTCAGATTTCCACGCCTCTCTGTTGGCGTCCTTCTACCAGTGGTTGGTGTAGTTGCCACCTGCAAAACCACACTCAGCAGGACTGGCCAGAAAGCTGCAGAGCCTGGTTCGCCACGCCCCAATTCTGCAGCACCAGGACAACCTCTCCTGAGGCCGTGGGAGCTCTTCCTCCTGCCTGTCTATCCCCTGCCACCGAATCACAGCCCCAACCTCCCAGCCAAGGCACAAGGAGTCCAGGGAAACCTTGACAAAAGGAACAAGGGGACAAACATATGGGCCACAGAGGAGAATGACAGGTCTTTAGAGCTGAGGGATGCCTCGAGATGAATGTGTCCAAGGGCAGCAACCAGGTCTCCTCTTGGAAGCCAACTCTTGATTTATCAGCAGTAGTTGCTTGGAGCTCTGTGTTAAGAAGGATTCTGAGGCAGAGTCCTGGCTCAGTGGGATCAAATGGTGCAGTTTCTCTGGGTCCCCAAACTAGTTCCAGTCCTCCTGGGATTAGAGGGAGGACAACTAAGGCCCGGGGAGAGGCCTCCTGTGTCCGGAGCTGTGTTTCAGCCTGTGGCAGAGGCAGGACTCAGGGCAATGCTCCTTCCTGTGTCCTAGGAGAAAACTCTAATTCGGTCCCAGAGCAGCCTGCCCCAGGGCTGTGCCTCTTGGCTGACTTTCTTAGGAGCAGATCAAGCTCCCGGACAGTGATGGAAGCCTTGGGGGCCGCAGGTGCTTTTCAGAAATCAGAGGACGAAAGATCGGAACCCTTGTTTGATCAGCTTCCCCGGGAGACTGTGAGCAAGGAGCTCAGGACATGTGTGCTAAGGCCCTAAGTGTGCCCACGGGCCTGCTTCTGCAGGCTTTTTTACCTCATAGCTCCCTGTCCACTTCAGATGATCTAACAGCGAGGCGATGGCCCGACTCCCCGGTCCCATTTTGGTTTTGGGTCGGAGACGTGCATCAGGGTGCTTCCATGTCCTTGGCAGCCTGGCCAGGGTTCTGAGCAGCAGGAGGCCAGCACCACGCCGATGTTTCTGGTTATGTCTCACGAGAGCAAACCCTACAGAGGAAGGGGACAGGGACTCCACTCACACTCATGAGTGCTGCCGTGAATGGGCTCTGTCCACGCCTCATCCGTTTGTCGCCACTGCAAGAGGGCCTCTTAGAGCCTCCTCCAGGCTGTCTGTGGAGCCAGGCTGAGGGTGACACCGAGCTGAGCTGAGCCGTCCGTCCACCACCAGCAGTCAGCTCTGCCTGACTCAGCTCCAGGCTGTTACAGAGCAAAGGTGTCGCAAGAGCTTCATCTTTGGAGTCAAGAAGCCTGAGTTGTAGTCCCAGCCCTGCGTCTTACTCCCTGCACAGTCTTATCACCTCTGAGTCTCGGTCTTCTCACCTGCAGAGTGGGTGTAAGTGCAGGGCTGCACACACATCTGGGGCGAGGATCCCCGTTGTGAGCATTTAGGCCGGCAGCTGGCACGCTGCCAACACCAAGATGCAGAGAAGAGACCAAATGTTTATCTTCGGGTACTGTGTTCCCAGCACGAGCAATACGACTTTTCATCCCCACAGCTGCGTTAGAGGTAAATATTTAATTTTCAAAGGAGGAAACTGAGGCCTAGGGCATGCCTAGATACGTGTAGCCAGATCATTTACTTTGATTTTTTTAAGTTAATCACTCTGATGGAACTTACCCTCTGATCTACTCCTTAATCTGCTCTTGAGACCTGCAGCAGCTGAACGGTGAGGAAGGAAGAGGGGAGCCGAAGAGACGGACGACCACAGAGCTACAGAAGAGACCTGCTGAACGTGTGGAGCACTTACGCTCTTACTTTCAGACTCCCCAGATGGGCCGGGGGTCATAGCAAAGGCCTCTGTCCTTTGGATGTCAACCCCTCCAGCTCCGGCAAGTCCAGAGCCTCTAGGATGTCAGGATCCGGCTCTGCATCTCCGCTGGTTCATACGGAACACACTGCACAGGGTCTGGGGGATTCGCTGGGGCAAGAAGAGGAAGGAGAGGAACTTTCCATGGCATCCCTCGGCCTGTGGAGGAAGGAAAGGGCCCACCAATCACTCAGCTCCTGGGGGGCAGGGGGAGCCAGAGGGGAGGGACAGAGCTTTGGGATTGAATGGACTTAAGTCTGTCCCAGGGCCGCCTCTTACCATCTGAGTGACGTTGAACAAGTAGCCTCATCTCTAAGATGGGCTTAGTAATCCCTGCCTCGCAGGGTTGTTGGGGAGATTCAGTCAATACTAATAAATTTACAGTGCTCGGAACTTCATCATTGAAAAGATCTAGAAATAAAAGCGGGCAATCTTTAGAGAAAAGTACATCCACTTCTGAAAACAGTCTGGCAGTTTCTCAAAATGTTCAACATGCAGTTACCACATGATCTGGCCATTCCACGCCTAGGTCCACAACCAAGAGAAGTGAACACTTAGGTCCACAAGGAACTGGTCCGGGAATGTTCACAGCAGCCAAAAGGTGAAGACAATCCAGATGGCCATCTACTTACCAATGTGTAAATGAAACATAACAGATCCACAAAATGGAATATTATTCAGCCAGGAAAAGGACCGAGGACGTTACAACATGGATGAACTTGGAAAACATGTCACTAAGTGAAAAAAGCTGGTCACAAAAGACCACATGCTGTGTGATTCTGTTTATGCAAACTGTCCAGAGGAGGCAAATCCACAGGCACAGACCGTGGTTGCCCAGGACTGGGGGGATCAGGAGACGGGGGGATAGTGGCTAAAGGGTATGGGGGGGGGTGATGAAATGTTCTAAAACAGATTGTGCACAACTCTGAACATCCACTGAGCTGTATACTTTAAATGAGTGAATTGTCCACTATAGATTATATCTCATTAAAGCTCTTTTTTCAAAAAACATGGCCATACCAAATCAATAAGCATCATTTTCAAATATGACATTCTAGGCAAGACCTTCATTGCATAACCAACTTTTCCAGTTATATCCTAGTAACAAGGAGGACAGTTCCTATCGAAGCTCTACAAATAACTACACAGGCACACAAAGTCAGGGGACTCTGTCGGAATTTCTGAATTCAGGTATTAAAAACCAAACCAGATAAAAATTCCAAGTTTGTCCTTCATTAGCGCCTTCCTGTTCTGGAATCCATTGACACTTTACTTGAGGACACCCATCAGGGCTTTTCAAGAAAAGACTAGCTTAATAATGCCA